ATTTCCCATGTGAAAACAAAAAATATATTATGGTGATTTTCTAAGTGTAACTTAAATGTGGCACAAGGCTGAAAGAATGGAGCACTCAGTGAGGATCGAACACACTACTCAATCGTAATTGTTCTAGTGAGACAAGCTTGCTAACAATTGCACCACGCTGAAGTGCCCTAAAATGATTTAATAAGCGTAGCTTAGATGTTGCACAAGGCTGAAAGTACGGACCACCTAGTGAGAATCGAACTCCCTAGTTGTAATTGATCTAGCGAGACAAGCTTGTTAACCATTACATCATGTCGAAGTGCCCAAACGATTTACTAAGCGTAGCTTATTTGTAGCGCAAAGCCGAAAATGCGGACCACCCAGTGAGAATCAAATTTACTATTCAGTAGTAACTGATCTAGTGAGACAAGCTTGTTAACCATTACATCATGTCGAAGTGCCCAAATGATTTACTAAGCGTAGCTTATTTGTAGCGCAAAGCCGACATGCGGACCACCCAGTGAGAATCATATTTACTATTCAGTAGTAATTGATCTAGCGAGACAAGCTTGTTAACCATTACATCATGTCGAAGTGCCCAAACGATTTACTAAGCGTACCTTATTTGTAGCGCAAAGCCGAAAATGCGGACCACCCAGTGAGGATCAAATTTACTATTCAGTAGTAATTGATCTAGCGAGACAAGCTCGTTAACCATTACATCATGTCTAAGTGCCCAAATGATTTACTAAGCGTAGCTTATTTGTAGCCCAAAGCCGAAAATGCGGACCACACAGTGAGGATCAAATTTACTATTCAGTAGTAATTGATCTAGCGAGACAAGCTTGTTAACCATTACATCATGTCGAAGTGCCCAAATGATTTACTAAGCGTAGCTTATTTGTAGCGCAAAGCCGAAAATGCGGACCACCCAGTGAGGATCGAATTCACTATTCAATAGTAACTGATCTAGTGAGACAAGCTTGTAAACTATTACACCACGTCGATGTGTTCCTTCTAGTTGTTATTAGAGATTGAACGTTTTCGTCAAGTACCCCTCTGACTATCTTCAGGTATTCATTGCTTTTAGCTGACATGGCATATCTTGATTATTTGTTGCTTTGTCGCTGTGACGCCAGTTCATTTTCCTTCCTGCTGAAATATAATATATTATTTCACGAACTGATGCATGGATTGAACTCACGACCACAAGATTAAAGCAGCACATATTTAACCCACGCAAAACGTAGGATATTACTGATCTTTCTAAACATATATTTAAAGATGGTCAGCGGCTACTTGGTCGAAACGTTGTGCTTTTATGATAGACTCTTCCATTGTCTTCGCAAAATGAGGGTCTTGCAGATTGGTTCTTCCAAGCATCCAGAGTTATCGCGCATCGATTATCTCCATGAAGGCCAGTGGAGAACCAACCACACTTTTCGGAGGAACCCCACATTGAGAAGTTTTGCACATAGTGTGCCACAAGCTCACCAAACGATCATCCTTATATTTTGATTTGTTATCCTTCTCCTAGACTGGTTGCTAACCAAGGCTAAAAAAACTGCGTTTATTATAAACTACGTCCAGCTGCAAGTCTTCTGATCGGGAGATTGAAGGTTTCAGGAGCGTGGAACCATCTCTAAATTACTGTTGTTCCCAGACCCACCTTGACTCCAAGGGGTAGCACCTGTTAGGACCAAGCTTTGGGAAAATAGTGAACACCCCCACCCCAAGGAAATCAAAACACTAGGGAAATAAAATTACATTGTTATAGTAAAAATACCAGCGATACATTTTTTTTATAAATAAATTATCAACAATATATTTGTATAGCAAAATTACCAGAAATATATTTAAATAAAGAAAATGACCAAAATATATTTTTATAGTAAAATTGAAGACATGACATACACAAAAAAATGTTTTAAAAAAAGCAATTTACTAATGTCTTATCATTACGTACGAGATATTTCAAGGAGGTATAGTAATACACTAAGCGTAGCTTAAATGTAGCACATGGCTGAAAATATAGAGTACCCATTGAGGATCGAACTTACTACTCAAAAGAAAAAGAAATCTAAATGACAAGCTCACTAACGACTACACAACGTCGAAGTGTCCTAAAGTAGTTTTCTAAGCGTAACTTAGAAATGGCGCAAGCCCGAAAATGCGAACCACCCAGTGAGAATCGAATTCACTATCCACCAAGAGAAGCTTGTTAGCCATTACACCACGTCAAAATGCCCATTTCTGGGAGGTATATGTGGGAGGTATTCCTGACGCACCTTGCACATTATTTTTTTATCTATGTACATTTTAATCGATCTTTTCCATAGATTTTTTAATAAAGCGACCAGAGAAAATCTTTATCGATTTTTAAAACCATCTCATCCAAAAATATTTGATTCGATTTTTTTTTTTTTTTAAATTTTAGAAATTATCTGCTTCTTTTTTCCTGGCAATAATTTGAATTTTTATGAAAATTTTCAAAATTTAGAATATTTCATTCCGTCTTCTTTATTTTATTTATTTTTTTTTTTTTTTTCATTAAATTAGGAACTGGTCGTTTTGGGATTAAAAATGTAAAAAACAAACGCAGGCCACTAAATTTATTAGTGAATTACTAGCGAAAGAAACGTGAAAATGAACGTTGGCGAAAGGGAAAATATCTTTTAATACATCGATCCAAAGCGATTAAATAAATTTAGTAAGGGGACAAAAATTGAGATGGACTGGCATCTGTAGGCCATATTTAGCTAACAATAGTCAAAAGCCTGATCAGATGTCCAGAGAGCGGGAAAGTATCCATGGCTATGAGGTTACGCAAGTGCAGACGAATCTAACGTAAAACTTGCCAAACGGACAGATGGTTTGCCTGTTGTTTCTGGTCAGCCTTTATCTAAGTGTCCTTCCACGAGATACAGCCATCAGTGTGCCTTGTCACAAAGCCATGCTTGTCGGAGACGGGGACAAATTAACGAGTTGTTTGGCAGAAAATAAAAGATATACCGAAAAGAGAGAAAGACGTCAATAAACACTGTGTGGACAGAAGAAAATGTATAGTGAGGAGATAAATACTACAGAAAAGAAAAGAAAAGAATCTGCTGGTGTCTCGACGATTTCGACAGACGAATGTAGATTTAAAACATAAACTTACATCCCTCAGAGACCGTAAAGGTTTTAAAAAAATGCTACAAATCTCTTAAATAGGCGAATGCATAGACAATCTCAATAAATACACACAAGCATACTAAACTTATGAAACCTTTCAACACGTGTAGCTGTTTCTTATTATTTTCTATTATTCCCTGACTTCTCAGTTTCTCTTTGCTTTCTTTTTTCTTTTTTTTTTTTTTTTGAAACCAACTTTATCCGATCTTATAACATACATTGGCCATATTTGCCAGCTCTCACGCGCCTCTTCCTGATTTACGACTGATTTATGCAAGAGCCTCAGGGATTTTCAGTTCAATTGGGAGAAAGTTTGGCTGATAAGTTCCCATAAAAATGCAGATCATGCAACGGAATATTTTTCCCTGAATTCACTACCTGAAGAGTGCAAGCAGATAATTTCAATACGGTGCTTTTCTTCTTCCCGCCTCGGCCATTTTCATCATCTTCATCTCTTTGACGACCAGCTTCCCACTGACCATTCCACCTTCTAGCAGCGTCTCAACTCACATAGATCACCTTCGGCTTCAGCAGGATCGCTATCAGCTTTCGTCAACCTATAAATAATGAATTTCATTATTTTGCTCTTTGCAATGAGAAACTATAATTGATCAGCGTTCATTTTGCCAACGTACGTTCGTCATTGGCTGAACGTCTATCTCGATGTAGTTGTCAAAGAGAGTTCGATCTTAACTCGACGCTCCGTAAATATGGCCCCAGTCTATAAATGTCCACAGGTGTCGCACTGCAATCATAATCGACCTAAATCGTAACTCTCCTACACACCTCACTTAACGAAAAATTGAGAAAAGAAAGCTGTTACTCCTACTGTCAACCTCGAAAAACCAGTCATAACATATCTTTCAGACTTTTGGAGCACCTCGGCGTGGTGTAATGGTTAGAAAGCTTGTCATGCTAGATCAATTACGACTGAGTAATGAGTTCGATCCTCACTGGGTGCCCCATACTTTCGGCCTTGTGCCACATCTAAGCCGGGCTTAGAAAATCACAATATTTTGGGGCACCTCGAGGTGGTGTAATGGTTAGCAAGCTTGTCTTGCTAGATCAATTACGACTGAGTAATGAGTTCGATCCTCACTGGGTGTTCCATACTTTCGGCCTTGTGCCATATCTAAGCTGCGCTTAGAAAATCACTATCTTTCAGACTTTTATAAAAGAGAAAACTTTAATCAGCTTCTGAATAACGACCACAAATTCGGTTGGTTATTTATTTAGCGGCATATCAACACTTCTATGAGTTATTTGATGCCGGAATCTAAATATTTTCTACGCAATTTTATTTTATTTATTTTTATTTTTTGAGATAATAATGATTTTAGTAATTTAGTCTTACTAATTAACCCATAGCGGAGGAGGGAAGAAGTGGGCTCATAAATTCCCCTAGAGTATTTGCGCGTAAGTGAATATAACGAACCCAACTGGAATTGGAACTCGGCTCTCCGATGAAAAATCTCAAGCCATTATCTATTACACCACCCTCACACCCAAGCTTACAGCACCTGGTATTCCCAAGCGGTCGTGTATCTAGGTACTGGCCATGCTCGACGTTGCTTAACTTCGGTTTAGAATAATGATAGAAACCAGTTAATGGTGCTAAAGTTCTTCTCGAACGAAAGAAAAAAAATAAATAGAGGAGGAGGAGGAGGATAAAGAAGAAGAAGAAGAAGAAGAAGAAGAAGAATATAGATTTGAAGACGAAAAATGACGATGATGACGATGATGATGATGATGATGATTTGTTTTATGGATTATCAACCCTTTCGGTGTTATTTAAATCCGAAACATATTTTAGATTGTAAGTGGTTGCTTACTGCATCCGGTGTTACCAACGATTAGAAGAAGAAGAAGAAGAAGAAGAAGAAGAAGAAGAAGAAGAAGAAGAAGTTTCACGCTTCAGTGGCGATAACCGGCCTATAGAATGGTTTGAAATGCAGGGATCAATGGTATATGATAGCTGATAAGCGACACAGTCAACTACAACGGCACGGATCAACCAATTCTAGTTAGCTGAATGTGCCGGGAAATGTCTCCCAGCCCACTCACGAAGGAAACATAATGTTGGTGAAGAGGTGGGGTACCTCCATTAGGCTCGTGTATAATATTAATTTTGAGCCCTCCACCTCCATCCATTCCCACTCTAACCCTCTTCGACTGAAAACAATCATAAAACAGCGTGACCAGTAAATCCAATTATTCAAATCATATTGGCATACTGGTTATTATGATAAAGGCTTCAACCTCTTATATTATTTAAAATTATAATAAACATAGGGAATGTATTTAGCGATGTCTGTATGGTTTCAGTGTGAAACCGCCTTCACTGGTTAGTGGAGTGGATCTCTACGTGGCAGATTCGTGATTCACTTGAGTACAGGACAAAAGGTCATATATTATGTTTACCACATGAACTGACAAAATCAACATAAAAGAGTGAGATATTAATAATGGTGAAAAACAAAAAGAGTGTAGACATAGGAATAAAGATTATATGGTGACTGCCAGTTTCACGCTTCGGTTCGATCTTCAGACCAAGATAAGCATTAACCGGCCTATACAATGGCTTGAAATGCGGTGATTGATGGTTGATGGTAAATGATAAGCGACACAGTCAACTACAAAAGCACGGATCAACTAATTCTAGTTAGCTGAATACGGTGGTTGCTAGCGGGAGTTATAGCCACTAGAATTGCATCGTACTTACTGTTGTAGAGTAGTTTCACAGTGGAGACTTGTATTTGTACTAAGTCGGTCCTAAAATAGGTTCGACGTACAAAACGTTAGGAACTTGATATAATAGGTAATGACACAGAGAAATCTAATGGTGGTCGCTGATACTTTTAGTATCCGACTAACGGTCGTCCGACATCGACTGACTGACCAACTTCCTGAGCCACTTGCGACTCCTACTTATTATAGGTGGGAGAGTCTATTAACTATAGAATAGGTGTGTTCTACTATAACACTTACAATCGTACTTAGGTATTAATTCGTATGTCCCCTCAAGCAGAATGATAAAAAAGGTCGAAATTTAAATTTTGATCTAGTTACGGGGATCCCTTGTTTCTTTTTCTTTCAAAAATGTCTCATGTGCCAGGTAATAAAGGAAGGATAATATCTAGGGACACTGCCTACTTAGGATATATTATGCGTTGTTTTCCTCTGTCCCTCTTGCCTTCAATCTGTCTTGTGTGCTCCTTCCTCCTTACACACCCAGAAATTTCAACTGCCTTCCTGATGTTAAGTGTAAGTGTCATTGTCTCTTGAACTTCGCCGTTGTTCGCATGTTCGGTCCATAGTATGTTGTTGATGATGACGGCCGTCTTTGAGTATAGAATCCAGAGGTTAGCAGTGAATATTTCGAAGACAGTAGAGAAGCGTTGTTCAGGTTAGCAGTGAATATCCCGGTAAAGTAGCAGAGCGTAGTTCAGTAGTTCTCCCTTCTGGTCCTCTTCGCCTGACAAGTTGGCACTGGACATTCGGATAGAGTAAACAAAATGACCGCCTTTATACACGACGGATTGAATAGTCTACGTCTTCTGATTGGTTAACCTACTATTGGTGGACTATAAAGTGAATCGTCATTTGGGCTAGATCACTAGTACACATATACGCAAAAAGCTGCAACATAGTATCCTCAGCATCCTTCTGCAAGAGCCAAATTTCTGCTGCTTCAAGTCACTTCTTTATCAGTGAAGAGATTGTTAAGCACTCACTGCCATACTGAAGGACTGATATTACAGTACTCTTTTCGTTGTTTCTAATGATATTTTTCTGTTTCTTTATACTTTGCTAAGTTTTTGGAAGGCATCTTTCTCTATCCCAGTGCGTATTCAGATTTCCCTGTTTTGTAATGTCAACGAACACTCGTTTGACACTTTTGTAATGTCAACGAATACCTGTTGTCACTTTCTTTCATAATGCTTGTTGTAGTAGAAACTTTGTAATCGCAGATACAACTATAGTTCACCGTCGAAAAATACTGGAATAAATTTCTTAACAACACGAATGGGCCGATTAAAAGTGCATTTATACCACATGATGTTATGGGAGTTCAAGGAAGGGAAAATGTTATGGAGGACACGAACATACCTTAGTTTTTGCACGGCAGTCTCAGCGTACACAGCGGATGTAAGAATAAATTTCTTAACCTCACGAATGGGCCGATTAAAAGTGCATTTATACCACATGATGTAATTAGAGTTTAAGCACAAGATAATGACGCTATGGAGACATCTTGAAAAATACCTGACGTTTAAGGTCTAGGAGTCATAAAAGACTAACAAGTACGAAACTGGTTTACCCATAAATATAGTATTAAAAGTATATTTACAATGTTTTGTCCTGGAGAAACGTCGTATGAAGATGAACCAATAGAGGGGCGTTCATCAGCAAAGTACTCGGAAATTAGCAAAGATGTTTAGTCCATCACTTAATCTTACTTATTATAAAACGCAGATTGTGTGTGTGTGTGTGTGTGTGTGTGTGTGTGCGTGCGTTTATATATTGGATCGGATTTCCTACATTTTTCAACCGATTTCAACAAAACTTCACAGGACTACGTAAAATTACCTTGCGGTGGTTCTGACAGCGCCAAAAATTGGAAAAACACAATTGTTTTTGCGCGAAATCAATTTGAAAACACGATTAAGAGGCATTAATGAAAGGGGGACAACTCATATCGAGTTATACTTATTATAAAACCCAGGTTGTTTGTGTGTGTGTTCGTTTATATATGGGATCTGATTTCCTACATTTTTCAACCGATTTCAACAAAACTTCACTTTTTTTTTTGGCAGGTAGTGTTTCTTATTGTCTTGTACACTTTTTTTCTTTATTTTACATTCAGAATGCTTTAAAAATTCCATTTACAAGACAATTGTTTATAATAAAATTCTATTCAATAGGTAGACTCATAACGATTGAAAACAATGTTTTTGTTTGAGTTTGACCAATTCGTAAAAAAAAAAAAAAACTAATTAAGACATGCGTGTCCGTCAGCCTTAAACAATAATCTTTGTCAATTTTATTTTTCAGTCTTTATGATGGTCGATACTTGATCTATCTCTTACTGTTACATCCCCGGGCAACGCCGGGCTCTACTGCTAGTCTAAAATATGTAGGCACTTAGAAGGTGTAAGGAAAGTCAGCAAGCTGGATGCTTGGGTTAGACACCTACTTGGCGAAAAGGGCCAAACAGATAGATGATGAACAATAAAAATGGAAATTATTTATGACAACTTAATAATTAATTTAGATTTTAAAACATTGACTGGGGTAGTTATGAACATAGATAGATAGATAGATAGATAGATAGATAGATAGATAGATAGAAACAGAATGATAGATAGATAGATAGATAGATAGATAGATAGAAACAGAATGAGATATAGATAGATAGATAGATAGATAGATAGATAGATAGATAGATAGATAGATAGATAGAATCCGTTTGTAGGATTTTGCTAATGAAGCTTTAAAGTCATTTCTTTCTTCTTTTTATGTGCCATGTCCCTTCGGGACGTAGGCGATCATGGCTCTCCACTTCCTTCTATTTGCAGCTCTCAACAAGTTCTTTACCTCTGCCACCTCCCCGGACTACGTTCTGTCATCCACTTGCTTAAGTCCGCTAGGTATGAGACGCGTTGCTTTCCCTTGTCTCTCTTTCCCTCTATTCGACCCGTGTGTATTATATTCTCCAGATCTTCCTTCCTCATTATGTGTCCCAGAAACTTCAGCTGCCTCTTCCTGATATTAAGTATAAGCCTCTTCCTTGTTTTCAACCTCTGTAAGACCATATCGTTGCTTACACGCTCGGTCCAGGATATCCTTAGCATCCTTCTGTATTGTATAAAAAACTACGATAAAGTACCCGGGAATAAGGAAAAAGATGTTAAATACGTAATAGTCTACAATATGCCAACACTAGAGAATAAAAATAGAGAAAGTCAGTAACTCGAGTTTTATGATTAACCACGATCTTTGTGAAACTAACAAAGCGGATCGTTTATCAATACCGACGTGTCTCACATTATAATATTGAAATAACCTATTACTTAAATATATCTTAACAGGTAGTGAAAAATGAGTTATATATGACAATGTTCAACGCAAAATGGCAGTGAATTTGACAAGGATAAATCTTCACAAGCGTCACCAAAAGCTGGAAGAAAGATAATGTTGTGCATGTAGTAGCATTTGTGAATATTATTCATTTATTATTATTAATTCTTCTTAAAACGTAAGGAAGCAATAAATGCAAATTTATATATCCAGCAGTTGAAACATGTCCATAAAAGTTAGTCTGAAAATGATTCTGTGCTTGTTAATTAAAAAAAACGGAAATTATTTGAGTTATCCTAATGGAACCTTGATTTTTGCTTCAATTTTTTCTTCTTTTTCTCACGCTTAAACTTGCTTTTTTGCTATAAATGTAATCAGTGGGGCGAATTAAAATCTTGATGTGTTTTTTTTTTAAATGTCTATTTTTCTTTATTAAATTCTATGCATGTTCTCTGCGGTACAAAAAAATGTTCTTTTGGGTATAAAAAAACAACCGATTAAAAATATTTTTATGATTATAATTAGAGTTTTTGTTTTGTTTTTTTATTTGCAAATTATTGTAACCTAGGAAAGGTTACTGAATAGAATAATCAAACGAAGGTTGGTAATGAATGATAATACTTAGGACCACAAATATATGATTCACCAGCAGCGCGTAGAAGAAGTAGTCAACTGCTAGAAGTGAGTCAAATGAATTCTACAATGAATCTCCAACTGCAGGATATCTACCAACCGCCCAACGCGGTCAAATGTGGCACAAGGCCAAATTTAATGTGGGGTATCCGAGCCAGTAGGCTCGGCCAAAATTTCCCCATAGACCCCGTATAAAACGGGGTCGGGTAGCTGTTTTCCGAGACGAGAGTCTGCCCTTTGACATGGCCTCGTCTGGGGATCCCCTCTGTCCGGAGGCAGACAGCACAGCTGGAGACGAATCACCAACTCTAGACCAACATACAGTATTTACTACTGTATTTATGTAGATTGGGACATACCCACTATCGTCCGTAGATATGCTACATGTAGGAAATATGACGATTAACCCTAGAATGGAAGAGATTAATATTTTAGTAATCGAGAAAACATCCTTTCGGGAGGGTTTTCCACAAATCAATAGTTCTTGGGTAGAAGGTGTCCGATTGAAACTTCCTCATTACTAATGCAATACGATGGGAATGGGAATGATTCATCTCCATGTACAGGGTAGGGTGGGTCTTAGCTGCAAAGTGGAATGAAGGAATGTAGCTCGTCGGAACACTTGCCATAGAAATGGCGATAGAGTAGAGAGAGGTTTGTGACATTTCGTCTGCGGCAAAAGGGGCTGTAGGGTGAGAAATAATTCATCACCGACAAGATCGCGTAGACGTTTTTGAAGCCCTTGCAATTATTTAATTACCTCTCTATCAAGCATGTTGGCTACCTTATTTTGTTCGGAACACGTACTCTATTTGTTTAATATTTTTATGTTTTTTTTTATTTTTTATCATTTCACCCCAAGCAAGACGATAATGCCTCTAAGGGGCTACTGGAAATGAAAGAGAAGGAAATACTTTAGAAGGAACCGACAAACAATCCTAAACAGGAAACAAGGGATAAATCTTTACTCCTGTTCAAAAGACCGGAGAGGAGTGTGAACCGGACGATAGGCGTATCTATCTACTCATATTGAAGAAAAAAAGATAAATAAATAGTAAACAAAAGTTCATAGGGGGGCGTTAAAAGTATAGATTTGGAGTAAACTTTAGAAGGAATCGAAAAGCCAATCCTTAACAGGAAACAGTGTATAAACCTCGCCTCCTGCTCAAAAGATTGGGGAGGAGTGTGAACCGGACGATAGGTGAACGTATCTACTGCTTTAAAATTTCTTTAATATTTAAAGGTTTGAAGCTATTTTTAATCATTGATCTGATAAAATGGTTGCGTGTCGTTAATCGTTTAAACATTTCTGCCTATATGAATGTCTATATAAAAGTTTGGGAAGGCTATTTAAGAATGGCTTCTCAGAGGCAACATACTTCTAATCTTATGACACACTAAGTTTTATGAATTCTTATTTAAAACAAGCGGCAATTTTTTATTGATTTTCATTTGAATTACTTTCGTATAAATCCTAAAGAAAACCAATTTTATTTCAATAAGATTAATGAATATAAATTTTCTCGAATAGAATTGAAAGAAATTATAAATAGAAATAAGAGTATTCCTATATGACAGTGAATGCTAGACAATCTCTTCACTAATGAAAAAGAGACTTGAAGCAACAGAAACAAAGGAAAGTGTACTGAACTGTTATGTAATATCAGTCCTCTTATATGGCAGTAAATGCTAGAAAATCTCTTCACTAATGAAAAAGAGACTTGAAGCAAGAGAAACAAAGAAAAGAGTACAGAACTGTTACGTAATATCAGTCCTCCTATATGACAGTGAATGCTGGACAATCTCCTCACAGATGTAGAAGAGACTTGAAGCAAAAGAAACAAAAAAGAGTACTGAACTGTTATGTAATATCAGTCCTCATATATGACACTGAATGCTGGACAGTCTCCTCACAGCAGAAAAAAAGATTTGAAGAAAAAGAAATGTGATTCTACAGAAAGATGCTGAGGATGTCATGGACCGGATATGTGATAAAACGACGAAGTGTTAGAGAAAACAAAATGGAAACTTATACGTAACATCAGGAAATGACAGTTGAAATTTCTAGGACACATAGTGAGGAAGTAAAACTTGGAAAATCTGATACTCACAGGACAGATTGAAGACAAGTGGGAACAGAGGAAAACAATGCATAAGATACTTAGTGCTCTTGAGTAAATGGATGACGAAACAAGGTTTAGGAGAAATAATAGAAAGACAAAATCTTGTCAGAACTAAAAAGGACAGGAAATCGTAGAGAGCAATGATCGCTTACATCCCGAGGGAACACGGTACATAAAAAAGAAGATCATGTAGCTGAAATTACTTTTTCGTTATCAGTTCTTGTTATCTAATATAGCAACATTTCTCATTCATTAGGTCGACGGACAAATTTGATTTCTTGACAGGCAATAAAAACTGACAATTTCAAATCTGTAAGCAACTAACTGATTTGCAATGTCTCTAGACGCTAACAATGTTGAAATGATTGACTTTAACTTAAAAATAAAAAATAATAATGACATTTTTTATATTTTTCTTTCTTTTTTTTTTTTTTCAATCTGTGAAATTGTTAGCAGCACCAAGATTAGAAATTAGAATCGCTATTCCTATCTTGGCATTGTTCTTTCGCGTCTGTCGTCATTATCGTCATGGTTTCTGCGACACTGTAAACATAATTATTCTTCTATTGTTCACCGTCTTAAAAATTCGAATGCAATAGAAATTCTGAAAATTCCAAATTTCTAAAATTTCCATGTTTTTTTAAATCAATTTGAAGTTGCCAAATTTTCCTGATTTCGTTTAAAATAACAGACAAAATAAACACAAATGCTGACATTTGAAATCGTTTGGCTGCGTTTTGTTCTGGGAAGAAAAAGAATGAAATCCAAAATATTCCAGGAATTATCCGGACCAATATCCACATATTTTTTTTTCATTTGATGAAGACATTTAAAGCAATGCACTCTCTGACCGCCCTGAATACGGTTTGAAATATGGTGATCAGCGATTTTATTAGTAGAAAATATTCAAAGTAGTATTCATATGTTTATTGTTTTTATTCCAATCTTTTCTTTCCGTATAAAATCTTTGGCCTTCCTTAAATTCATCTTGAATCTGCCAGTCCTTGAATCTTCATGAATAATACACATCTACGCACACACGGCTGAAAAGTTCATAGGCTGACCAATATACAAATGTAAGTCAACACACCAATTGGTAAACTAAAAGACATGCAAGTGTACCAGAATACAACAGCTGGCCGACCAACTGTTCTATACTGCTATACTGTTTTTTTTCTTTCTTTTTTTTAAATCGGTATCGCCCCATGCAAGGCAATAAAGCCACTAAGACACAAGGAGTTACAGGAAAGAATTAAAAACAGAAACATTAACGATGAGAGGGGAGAGAAAAGAGTAATCAGGAGAACAGTACATAGCGATTGACATTGAATTTAAATTTTTGAAGTTCAAACTTGACTTGGAAGCATAAAGCCAGAAGAGATTTCCACAAGCGAGAAGTGCGATAGAAGAAACAGTTAGCATAGAACTTACTTAATTTCAACTATAAAATGACGAGATTTAGCTGCCAATATAGTACTTTTTAATCGGTATTATCGCATGCAAGGCAGTAAAGCCACTAAGACGCAAGGGGTTACATTGTGTGGAAGAATTAGGAACAGAAACATTTGTAATGAGGAGAAAGAGAAAAGGACAAACAGGAGGACAGTAGATAGCGATTGACATTGCATTTAAATTTTGAGAGATTA